GAGAGAACGAGCGTGAAAGAGAAAGAAACGAGAGAGCGAGGGAGAGAAAAAAGAAAGAGATAACGAGAGAGCGAGGGAGAGAAAAAAGAAAGAGATAACGAGAGAGAGAGGGATAGATAAAGAAAGACATCAGAGAGAGACGGAGAAAGAGAAAGATACGAGAGAGAGATGGAGAGAGAGAGAGAGAGAGAGAGAGAGAGAAACAAAGAAAGAAAGAGAGAGAGAGACAGAAAGAAAGAAAGAGAGAGAGAGAGAGAGAGAGAGAGAGAGAGAGAGGAGGGAAGAGAGTAAAAAAGAAAGAGTGCAAACAAATCAAGATAAAGAGATTGCTAGAGAGATCAGCTCCAACCAATCATCACTGAGAAGACGGGATGTTTCCGATTTTGCAATTTAAATTGTACCCATTTTTTATGACACAAGGTGTACTTGCAGACACCGTACTGATATGACAGTTAAAAGTTCATGGCTCTGGGCTGTTCCGGGTGGCTCGATCTCTCTAGACAGAAATTTTAGCTGGCTGCCGACATCGCATACAGCATGAACTCTAAAACTCCAGTGACAATTTCCAGGAATTTTCATAGAAACTGCCCTCCTGAACTAAACGACGCCTCTGTGAAAGGAACCCAAGATCCTGAAAGTGAGCCGATGGTTCGACCACTTAGCCATGAAAGATCCCCAGTGAAAGATCCCCAGTGAAAGAATCCCAGGGAAAGATCCCCAGTGAAAGATCCCCAGTGATAGATCCCGAGTGATAGCAATGGCCAGGCGAGATGAATTCGCCCGTGTAAACATTATCAGGTAGCGATTACACTAGAGAGGGTGTCACATGACATGTTCCTTTTCGTCGCTTTGCTGTTGAGAGTATGCATACACAGCTAGCATCGCAGTACTGGCAACTGGTAGCTTTAACACGTTAGTTTCTTTGTGAGTGGCGTAAAAGTGGTGCGAACGTTCTTGTCGCTACGTATGAGGCCAAGTGACGTGTATGTAATAAAGAGTCAGCAGTAGTAACACATAGTAAAGCTGAATGCTGAATTAGGAATCGACATTATAGCATTCGGGACACCCCTATCAACGCTTCTTCCATATCTTCAGCAGCAAGCGAAGATTTCCTATTCAAATGGTACCAGTAACTGTGTGACTGTAAATGCGTCTCGCCCTTTCCATGAGCTCCTAACCTCGGCCAGATTTCCTGGTAACTTCTCGCAGCGCCATTCTCCTCAGACCGGAATGATCTATCTGTGCCTCCGCACTGTTCACTCGCTCTTTAATGGCCCTCACAAGATCTAGCTTGGGATATATCAATTCACCACCAAGTGGTGCATAACCGGCTAGTCTATCCACCTGCTCATTTCCCAACGCACCGGCATACCTAGAGATAATATCAAATAGTAAAATAATGCCCTTTTTATCAAAGAAAAGTGTCAGCAATGAGTGAAACTGTTAGTTCTACGTTTCGCCACTGACCAGTGTTGCCACTTTGGATGTTTTACAACCAGATTTAGATGTTTTCCCTTGAATTTAAATGGTGTTTTTGACGTTTAGATGGTAGATTTCTAGATGTCTTTCATTTGGAGTGAATTTATCAAATCTAACCTAAGAAACATGATGAAATGTGACCTCTTAAATGCTATCTTGACAATAAAATTCGGCCTGATAACAGCAAGAAAAGGCTTTTCCACTTATCAGCTCCTTGATTGGGTATTAAAAGAAATTGGAACAGCTAAAGCATACCAGTCATTTTGGATCTGAAGCTTCAACTTCATCGTCCAAGCTAAGTTTATCCTGAAGATCTTATAAGGCAGACTTCAGTAAAGATGAGGACATGATTATATAAGGTAAGTCATATCATTTGCTATGTAATTTGTGACTTTTTCCATTTGGATGTTTTTTCTAGATATTTTTCAGGCAAATTTAGATGTTTGTAGATATTTTTTGACTCCGTTTTGGATGTTTTTTGTCAAAGAAAAGTGGCAACACTGCCAATGACTGGTAGGGAAAACATCTCGACACATTTAGGGACTGAACCGGCACCACTGTTTCTAGAGATAAGAGTGCTAACCACTACGCCTAACAACCACAAAATAAAATAAAAAGTACAAAGTGCTCTAGTCCTCTTGGTAACCTCAGCACTCATAACTACATGAAAAAAGTTCACCCTAACCCAGAGCAAATTTTATGGGAAAAATTATGACCAAGAAAACAAAGTTGAAGAGCCACTACAGCAGATCAAAGAAGCAGCCACAGAACATTGACGTCTCCCGCCATCACAACAAAAGACACCGTCGGCTGTATATGAAAAGCAGACCGGCCAAAGACCAGAGAATGATGGAATATAAAACATTGATCTATGAAACTTTGAAGATGAAAGGGATATTAAATGAGAGTTCTGAGGCGGTTACTAGTAGTATTTTCCCGCCTTCTTCTATATTACTTGATGACAATCCTTTCACATTTTGTCTGCAATGCATTTTTGCCTTGTCGCCTTTTTTTTTAAAGGCGGGCGTGGGGGTTATTTTTCGTTGGTGCTCATATTTTTTCCACGTCTTTGTTCTCATTTTGATTAAAACTTCTCAAATTGTAGTATTATATTTTATTAGTTTTAAAGGAGAAAAGAAATAGTTTGTTTAATTATCTGTTGATTTTTGTGTGTGTGAGCTATCTTTACTGCTGTTTCATGTTTCAACTACCGCATTCTTCCCACTTCCTGGTCCGCCTACATCTTGAGGGAGTTCCTGATTCTCCGCTTTAAAACGCAATCATTTCTGCGCTTCTCATATTCATCAAGTATAGTGGAAACTCTACAAAATCCGGCCTAATTTGTTGGAACGGTAGGCCAAACTTCTACAAATACATAGTTTCTAGCCCACCGACATAATTGAAAACACTATATTTTTAAATACCAAACCCCGACCAAGGGACACATCAAATCAAGTGACATACACTTGTAACCATCTGGTAAAGTAAATGATTACTTATTTTATGACGAGAATTTTTTTAAAAACTTTGCCGGATAATATAAGTCCGGATAGTCGCCAGCCGGATAATATGCAGACCGGATAGTCGCGAACGGGTTAATCAAGGTTCTACGTCTTCTACTGTATAACAAGTGTGGCTACTGAAAACTTGCAACAATCCGGATTTTGGACAGAATTGACTGAGAATGAGACACCGTAACTGCTCTGACAACTAGACCGACTGATAAAATCTTATCCTCCATAACTTGTCTTCTATTTGTTTTGCCGTCTTTCAAACCCCCTTCCCAACACGGTTAGTCGGTCCCTTTCTCCCTTGTCTTTGAACAACCGAAATAAACAAATCCAAACTCGCGTCATATAAAACAAGAATCACGCGGGCGGCACGCGATTATATAACATTTTATTACATGTAAAAGAAGACTAATGGGACCAGACAGACACAGAAACGACGCAAGAGCCGCTTACACACACAGACAGATAAATTTTGCCCAGAACTCTCTGAGGAAGAAACCAAATCCTGAAACAACATTGAACGGTTTTATTCTCAGCTGTCAATGCCAAGAACGGCCGCTGAATGACCCGACAAATTATTTGCCAGCCTAATATACCCCTTGCCAATTCTGGCAAATCGCCTCCGAGCGAGAGACTCAAGCTCATAAATCATAGGCCAGGAAGCCAATAACTTGAGAAGCCAAGGAACCATGGATCCATTTGCATAAGTGTGGAGTAATTTGCATCCGTATTATATTGCACACAGTGGCGTTCTGCTGAAGAAATGATTGCTTCCATGGAATTTATATGGTCAGTTTCGCATCTCATTTAATGAACTTGATATTATAAAGTGCGATTTAGCGCCTTCGTTGAAAGATGGCAACTAGGACAGCCGGTAGAGTTGTGTTGAAGGAATAAATGCAGATGTTTTTTTAAAAATATTATTTGGATTTCTGATGGCTGTTGAGCGATCGAAGAACGTAATAAGAAATAGTTTACCTTCATATTTATAAGCTGCTTACATTAAAGAGTCAATACAAAGGGAAAACTCAAAAATAATATACAAACAAGGGGAATAATGTCGTTACTGAAATAGTAAAAGTGCATATTAAGGGAGATAATTTAAACAGCTAACAAAAAAAACTAACAGAACGTGAAATAAGCAGGTACAGTTTGGTCATATTTGGATATTGATGTGACAAATAGTTTCTCTAATAGACGAAGTCAAAGTTATGATGAAACATAGATTGATACATAAAACATATTCACGTTGTCATGGAGGCAGGAAAATTAGAAGGTGAACGAACTTAAATGAACACCACTGAGTAGAAGGAATACAGATAAAAGATATCAGGACTTTCAACAACAGCAAAAGTTCTGAAAGGTATGACACAGGTACTGATAATATATCTGGACTGATCTAGTAGATAATACCAAAGTTTTCAGGAAACATATATAAATAAAACAAAAAGGATAAAAACAGAAAAATGTTTTTCAACGGACAGCAAAGATGTCATTGAAGAAGACATTAAATAACTAGTTTCACCGACAGTTGTAATCTGTTTGGTAACAGACTGCCAATCATTTTTTAGAAAGAGATATGAGCGTCCTATCGTCCAAAATAAAAGTCAAAATATACGTTTGATAAGGGAAAAACAATATTCAAAGAAATTGGGGTGGGAGGTGGGGGGGGGGGGGTTGATAATAACTAGTCCTTTAAAAGGATTAACGCCCAAAGAAACACAAACAACCAATCAGTCCAAAACTGTAGCATGTGTAACACCAAATGCACCAACTATGAAGAACAGGGACTAAACATAACAAAGTGGAAGAAATCCATTAACAAATAATCCAGTCAAAATGTCAGTTATAACCGACAGTATGGAGACAGGTTCAAAGAGATGGAATGTGTGTGCGTGTGTCTGTATGTGACATTCATGGCAAAGATACTGTATAAAGACAATGAAACATGAAAAAAAAAATGACACCTTATTAAGTTATCCACAGTTATTAAACAACAAAAGGCCTTACCTTGCAGAAGGTGTAAAAATCATGCTTGCGGTAAGGATCTGATCCCAATCCTAGTACCACCTGTCCCTGTAAGCCTCCATCTTTACCACTGTTCCAGGGTGACCCTTCACCGAGGCATTTCTTGGAGGTTCCATCAATGCCAATCTTGGTCACGTCCGGCTGGGAGTGAAGCGAAAAGTTGCCATCTGGTTCCCCTTCATCGAAGTCCTTGAATTCAATATCAGCATCGGACCCTCTCCAAGCCACAACTTTTTCAACCTCCCCTTTACCACACTCCTCTTGGATGCCTGTTTTCACCAGTTGCCAGTCCGGTTCCTTTCCCGGAGGCACGGAAGACCTACTGTTGTTTCCTCGACGGATCACAAAAATAATCACAAGAATAAACACAGAAAACAGCAGCGTGACCCCAGCGACGCCACCAGCAATCAGAATATATTTCTCTTCGGGGTCTCGTCCATCAAGAGCAGAAAATGTGGCGTTAGTCACATCAATAATAATCTCCAGCAAAGCTTCACTCTCCCTCGGTTCTACTCCCCAATCCTGAGCACCTATCATGAGTCTGTGATTCTGATCATCAGTGTCTTTTACTTTCCTCCGGAGGTAAAGAACTCCTGTTGTTTTGTCCAAACCAAATAAATCAGCTTTGTTGTATTTTGAAGAAATAAAATATGAAATGGTTTTGTTCTCGCCTAGATCGTCGTCGGTGGCGTTGACCCTGGTGATTTCTCGGTTCACTGGCATCGACCACAAGAAAGAGACCGTCTTGTTTCTCTGGGTGGGGAAATGAAAGAAGGGCGCATGATCATTGATGTCTTCAACAAGGACCGTAACTGTGGCGGAACGCATCTTAGAGTCGTAGCCCTTGTCACGGACTTCCAAGTGTAGGATGTACTTGTCCCGTGTCTCTCTGTCCAGCTCCTGCAGAGCCAGAACCACACCGTCAGGGTTGACCTTAAACGTCTGACCAGAGATGTCCGAGGTGGGTGGCATGGAGAAGACTAACTCACTGTTGAGACCTGAGTCCTTGTCGGAGCCTTCAAGCTTGCCGATGTACTTCATGCTGCCGCCTCCTTCGGGAACCCTCAGCTCTCTGGTGATGATCTCTGGGTAGTTGTCATTGATGTCCTGTACAGAAAATATATAACATGTTATTATTATAACTTATCCTAGGAATGGTGACTAAATTTACAACAGCAAACATAGAGGATGGATGTGTCTGCGTGGTGAAGCTGTCAAGTTTAGTGCGCCTTAGGTCGTGGGTTCGTTTCCAGTTTGTGCCACGAGGTTGATTAGTGAAACTGTTTACGAGATCTCTCAGAGTGCGTGATTTGTACGACGTTTGAGGCAGACACACCCAGCTATTCAAAAGGGAGAGCCCGAGAGATATGACATAAAACCGATGCAAAGTGGAGGATCCTTTCACTTTTAATAATCGTCAACTATGTAAAATTAGACAGCTATACAGCCTTTGGCACTGCGGACGATAGCGCAATCCACTGTTTGGCGATATCACAGATGAATTACGATATGCTTTTGTCCCAGCAATAACAGCACACTGTTAAACACGAAACATGTTTTACCAAGGCAGTAACATACAGGACTTTGGAAACAATCATCAACATCATCACCGTGGCTTTTCTTCTTCTTTCTAGCGGCATCACGGGCCGTCACGTTTTATATTATCAAATATTTGGTTGAAACTGAAAGTATAATAATAATACAAGAAACAAAGGGATGTGATGATGTAATTGCATGAGAGTACCACCCTAGAACTTTTACGCCATGTCCTCACTCACTTTTTGACGTTACTCTCTGGCTCACGCCTCCATGCTTGGCGTAGGGGTGAGGGGACACATGGGGGGGGGGGGAGACATGGGGGAGGGGGGCACATGGGGGGGGGGGGGGGAGGGATCTAGGATTTGTTTAGTTCCCTTCCAAACCTCCACATAAGTAAACCTAGCACAATATTTAATTCCTCGAATCCACTCAAGCGTCCCGCCTAACTAAATGAAAGTAAATGCTTTCAAATCTGCGGTATTTTATTAGCAATGTTTTGCTTTCACAGTGACACACCGCACAGACAACAATGATTGCTGAATACGAAAAACACTGACACTCACCAGAATGTTAACAACCACGGTGGCCGTGCTGACGAGCGACGGATGTCCCTCGTCTGTGGCCAGGACGATGACGTTGAGCCGCTTCTCCACTTCGTGGTCGAATGTGGTTCTGGCCTTGAGTATCCCGCTGTCCCTGTCTATGGAGAAGACGCTGTTTTCTTTGGGGAACAAGGAGAAGGTGAAGACCCGGTTGATGCCCGCGTCTGGGTCCTCTGCCGTCAGCTGTGAATACAACACTTCAGAAATCATCTACAGTCTGTTTCAGAGGTCGTGGACAACTTTAAACTTACACAGCTCAGTAATGGCTGGGTCGAAATTGTTAGGATCTGGCAGTAGCCGGTTAATTATCATGTCCTTCTAAGAATTGTTAATAAATGTTTTTTTTTTTTTAATGTACTTCTTCTATTGTCCGAGCAATCACGGCATACATTACAGTTCCTCCACGTGCGGGTTTCTGTGCTACTTTAGAAAAATGAGGTGGGAGAAGGGAAAAAGGGGGGTGGGGGAGGTAAACGCGCTGTCTCCGTAACGAGCATGTGGTAAAAGCGACTAATGAGGAACGTTTACTTCAAAGTCGAAGGGCATCAGTCTGAGAGGGAGATCAAAAACCAACAGTCTGCATGCAAATAAAACAGAAAAAATGGAGGTGATTGAAAAACTCAAGTTCTGGAGGTGGAGGAGAGCGGGGACGAGAAACCAGAAGTTTCCGCCACAGTTTACAGTCGATGAACGCTAGCAAGAAGTTTACAGCTCCTTCTAGTCAAATTTTACCAGCATCTTTCTGCAACTTTCATTTTATGAAATCTGCAAACTACTTTCTACTTTTTATGAAATAATTATCCAAGATTCAAGGTCGTATTTTGAAATTATGTCTCCGTGTAGCTAAACAATTTTCCTAAATGTATAACCAAAAACCTCTGAAGAGCACAGAAATTAGTTATTAGGGGACAAAAATGAAAAAAGAATATCTGCAATTGCAACAAACGCATCGGCTAAATGTTTTTAGAGGTTGAAACAACTTATTGTGGAGATAGAAAGAATTATCTTCTTCCTCCGAGATCGCCCATAATAAAGACGGCTAGAGTGGTGTGTTGTGGTTTACAGATAGGCTGCGAAAGCTGCACCCTTTAATCAACAGATGATCTCAGCGAATTAATAGTTGGTCATCTCTAACGAGGTACTGAACAATCTTGGGCATATCACCAGCAAGCAAGTGACACACTTTTTGAAAGCATGTATCTTTTCTGTGGCAAAATGGAGGCCAGGCATTGACTCTCAGACTCCGAGCTTGTGAATCGAAATGCTACAGAGAAATTCTTAGAAAACCATGAACCAAGAAGACGCACAACGTTGACATGATGCATAACCTGAACATCGAGGAGAATTGGCTTGTAAACAGCATCCTGTCCTTATAACTGGAGTGTTTTAGACATGTCAGTGTTATGTTATCACAATCGACATCTTTGCACACTGGGCATCCCCATGCGTGTTCAGTCCTCAGTCCCTCGATGCAGCAGCCACTCCAAGGTACCTCTACTGATTGTTTCCATGAGAAGCTGATTGTGGTATCTTCTCTCTTTACCTTGAAGACAACATAGACGTGCTTCATCAAGCCTAACTTCTCAGTCATGCAGTCGTGTTAGCGTCAGAGATTCGCCGTTATCTCTCAACCTAGTCCGTACACACATACACACACACACATATATATATGTATGTATACACATACGTACATATATACATACGTACATAGATACATATATAGATTTATACACACGTACATAAATACACACATACACCCACAGATACCTACATACATACAGAAGGGTATAACCCACCTTCAAAATCTGCTTGCCAACGATGTTTTCCTCTGTGACGTTGGCCACATACTGTATCTGACTGAACACGGGAGCGTTGTCGTTGATGTCGGACACAATAACATGAAACGTTGACGAGGCAGTCTTGGGCGGCGAGCCAGCGTCCGTGCAGACCAGTTTGACGTCAATCTTCTCAGCCTGCTCCCGGTCCAGGCTCCCGTTCATAATGATGGCATAGTATTCGCCAAAGTTGTCCGTCTTAAAGTTTGGGTGGGCGGAGAAACAGTCCACCTTGCCGCTGGCACCTGGGTCATTGTCAACCGCCTGTGGAAGAGTACGTTGTTACCAGCCTTACAAAGTTATATATATATATATATCATCTCAAGGGGCTTCAAATGAAGACTTCCTAGGTGTCATAGAAATTACAATAACCATGCCATTTTCCGTTGGCCTTATAATATTGTTCTCAAGGATATTAAGAGTGTGAATCATAGACATCCCGATGCAGACAAAAACGGCGACGTCATAAGGACAGTTTACAATAGGTCGCCCCACTTCTCACAACCACCAAAGACGAGAGCGTTCTGTTATCGGTTTCTTGGTCAGTGAAGCGGTAAAACCTTCAGAAATTTATCAGCAACTGAAAGTCCAGTGTGGTTATATATGTCTGTCAGTCCAAGAAAGGGAATAAGTGAGTGAGACATTTATTTTAGAACGGCGTGACTTTTGGGACGGATTTATCACCACGATACAGGCACATCAGGGAGCGCGATCACAACCGATACAGGCACACAAAGGAGCGCGATCACAACCGATACAGGCACATCGGGAAGCGTGATCACCACCGATACAGACACATCAAGGATCGTGATCACGACCCGATACAGGCACATCGGGGAGCGTGATCACCACCGATACAGGCACATCAGGGAGCGTGATCACGACCGATACAGGCACATCAAGGAGCGTGATAACGACCCGATACAGGCATATCAAGGTGCGCGATCACAACCGATACAGGCACATCAAGGAGCGTGATCACGACCGATACAGACACATCAAGGAGCGTGATAACGACCGATACAGACACATCAAGGAGCGTGATCACGACCGATACAGACACATCAAGGAGCGTGATCACGACCGATACAGACACATCAAGGAGCGTGATCACGACCCGATACAGGCATATCGGGGAGCGCTATCACGACCGATACAGGCACATCAGAGAGCGTGATCACGACCGATACAGGCACATCAGGGAGCGCGATCACGACCGATACAGGCACATCAAGAAGCGTGATGACGACCCGATACAGGCACATCGGGGAGCGCTATCACGACCGATACAGGCACATCAAAGAGCGTGATCACAACCGATACAGGAACACTAAGGAGCGCAATCACGACCGATACAGGCACATCAAGGAGCGCGATCACCACCGATACAGGCACATCAAGGAGCGCGATCACCACCGATACAGGCACATCAAGGAGCGTGATCACCACCGATAAAGGCACATCAAGGAGCGTGATCATGACCGATACACGCACATCAAGGAGCGCGATCACCACCGATACAGGCACATCAAGGAGCGCGATCACCACCGATACAGGCACACCAAGGAGCGAACAGTCTGTCACAGAAGTCACACTGGTCTCAAATTCATACTCCACTCATAAATTTGCTGGAGGCCCATTTTAAACCCCAGCGCATCAGGTATATTGTCTGATTTTCACGTTTTCAAAGTCCAGTCTGTATTAGACTAACGATGTGGTCAACATCTAGTCCGCCGACTTTACTTCCCCAATATTTGATCCTACATACACAGTTAGGGTTGTGTCCACATGGGAGCCAAGGTCACTTATTTCTCGAGATGCACCCGGTGTTAACTTCGAGAATATCGACTTTGTTCACACCGGATTTTGGACCCTATAGCTGGGTATTTCTTTGTGTCAGTCGCCCGCGGAAAGCGTCGCCTAAACCAAGAACTCCGACTTTCCAGCAACGACCCTCACGAATCTCCGTAAAATTTGCACTGGTAAATTGAACGACACGTCGGTGAAACGAACCCGCACCTTAACAGCGAGAGGCAAACATCTTGACTACTTGGCCAGCGAAACCCAACAGTCACCGTGCCAACGAAGTATTTTTTACAAACTAGTAGGGCTTCTGTGCAATGGCTGTAAACATCCAGATGTCCAAATAAATCATCTACCCAATCCACGGAGAGTTTACCGGATATGGAGAATCAGCACAGGATGTGGAGAATCAGCAACGATGCGAGCTGAATTTATCTCACTAATTACATTTTCCAGAAAAATCTAAAACCCGATAGCTACTGAAAAACACACAGAATTAAGGCGTCAACGCCAGGCAAAAATCATTCAGATTAGACGATGGATTTTGGCGTTATTCGAAGAATGGATTGATGTATGCAATGTGGATTTTGGGCAAACTCTTGATTTCATTACAGATGGGAGTCATACTACTGACCTGGAGTCTTATTATTGACTGAGAGACGTATCGCTGACAGGCAGTCATAAGACTGATTGTGTGTCATATCACCGACCGTGAGTCCTATAACTGACTGACAGTCATAACACTGACTGACGCTCCCACATCACTGACCGAGAGTCCTAGCACTGACTGTCCGAAACTCATTTCGAGAATCTAAAAAAAAAAAAAAAAAGATGAATAGTTTAACTAGCCGTCATCGAGCTGTGCTGTAGACGTTCTCTCTCTCGCTGGTGACCCAGCCTTCAGTCGGTATCAAGAAAATATCTCAAGAAATAAAGGCGACCAGTGGGATATTTGCCACGATCGTTCCCTCAGCTCCGATGAGGATGATGATATTAATGATGATATTAAAAACAACAGCAAGTGAAGGAAAATAAGAGGAAAAAGAAAAAGAGGAAGAAGAAGAAGAAGAAAAGGAGGGAGGGGAGGCGAAAAAGAGGAAGTAAGAAGAAGAAGAAGAAGAAGAAGAAGAAGAAGAAGAAGAAGAAGAAGAAGAAGAAGAAGAAGAAGAAGAAGAAGAAGAGAAGAAGAAGAAGAAGAAGAAGAAGAAGAGAAGAAGAAGAAGAAGAAGAAGAAGAAGAAGAAGAAGAGAAGAAGAAGAAAGAAAAAGAAGAAGAAGGAAGAAGAAGAAGAAGAAGAAGAAGAAGAAGAAGAAGAAGAAGAAGAAGAAGAAGAAGAAGAAGAAGAAGAAGACAACGATCATAGTGCCGTATAGTCCTAGCACTTACCGTAAGCTTGCCAACAAAGGTGCTGTTCTTGGCATCCTCCGATATAAGCACGGTATTCTCAAAGACCGTCTTCTGTAGCTTGACCTCCAGGCGAGGGGCGTTGTTGCCAACATTGACAATGGTCAACGTCACAGCTGCTTCTGCGATATGGGGAATGTCTCCTTGGTCTTTGGCCTCCACCACCGCATCAAATGTTTTACCTGCATCATACTGGGAACAGGCCACACAGAGATTTATTTCATGTCAGATTTAGACCATTTTTTAGATTTATCTAATCTCTCTGATTTATCTCAACTCTTTCATTTATCTCATCTCTT